ATTGATTCAACTGTGTAATGCAATTTGTCAAAGCCTAGAACAGAAGAGGGCATTAAAGTCTTTCCATTTTAGTTCAACAGATTTCATGATCATTCACAAGAATTAAGCTTGTATTCGTGAAAATGTGCTTACATTAATATTGTCATCCTTGTGAGTGAGAGCTACTTCCAAATCTTTCTGAGGCTTCTCAAATGATTTGATTTGCTCACTGAGCTCGGCATGTAATTTACTCCAGTCTTCAATTTCCTGCTGCAACTGAAAATTTAAAACACAGAATTCCCACAGGTTAGGGCTTTTGCACTGGGGACAAGACCAAGTGAATGAGGCAGGGAGGTAAGGAGCCATGTCTCTCCTTAGTCTGTCACTATGGGCTAAGACCTTGGTTAAGTGGGAGGAGAGAGTGACCCCAATCCTCAGAGCTGTTGTGAGAACATCAGAGCTGACAAGGAAATTGATCTTGTTTATTGCATCCTCCAGAAAATTATAGCCAATTCAAATAATTCACTTCCAGAAGGAACTGAAGGGCTTATCCTGCTATCTCTCAAGTCTAGACTCCTGATCATGTAATCTTCCCTTGGCTAGTGAAGCAGTAACTACTAAAAGGAGGGTGGTAAAATATCTAATTCTTAGGTCTAAAAAGTCAATCTATTACCCACTTAAGGCTAATCAAGTTAATAGTAATTGGTGTTTGACGAAACAAGACGAAACACTCTGACGAGCAAAATAAATTGTACAGAATAGAAAAAACAAAACAGACAGAAAGTGTATACCTATACTCAATTTTGGAAGTATAGTTTAAACTTTGCATATCTAAGAACAGAATCCTGCATGTACATTACCTTAAAAATAGATCTGAGAAAAGGTATTCATGTGATATGATACTGGGTTCTCTATTTTACATGACCCGGGACATGTACTTTTCTTTACCTGCTCTTTTTTCTTCTTAAGCCTAGCATTTTCTTCTTGAACCCGATGGCATTCAGACTTCACTTTCTCTTCACTAAGTTTAGCTTCATTAAGTGCAATCTGAACCTAATGCAAAACACTCCTATTAGTGAATTAATTCCAAAGAAAACCAAAAAAAGTTACTTTCCCAACCCAACATCACGTAGTTTTCATTTTTTGCACATTTTAGCACATGCCAACTTTTTGCTCCTCAATAAAACTATGATACAGTTTTAATATCCTGGAGGAATTATAGTCAGCTTTACCTCTGAAAATTCTGAAGCATTCATGGAAATAACATCTTTTAACTTCTCTATACATTTCATGTTTTCTGATATCTGCCATGTAAAAACAGAATACAAAATGCATATTAGGATTTCAGTAGAAACACTGGGATATATACTAAAAAGAGGAAACATCAACGAAGTAAATCCCAGAGCCATCCTGTGTTTCAGGTAAAAGCAGGTTTTTCAGTTTTGCC